AAAAAAACGGCGCAAAGTTGGCTTGGAAATGACGATCGATGACATACTGATTTTTTATCAAAGTGTCACAATATGACATGGCCAGAAATATTGTTTTACATCGCTTGACATTTATAGTCATAGGCAACTGGTTAAAATATAAACAATACCCCGTATACAATGTTAACAAATTTATGTTCTAAAATACTTAGTTTCGGAGATACAGGGTGTAGAAGTTTCATTTTTATTACGAATTTTCCCAAATAGTTTATGAAGTAACGTCAATATTTGGATGAAAATTGGTGTGTGGGAGTTTTTTGATATGATAAATTTGGGGATGTTGATGTCAATATGACTCCTATTTGTAGAGGGCGCCACCTACATATTTTTTAACTGGTTTGAAGAGCAATAACTTTTCGTCCGTACTTATATAAAAGTACTGAGTACAAGAAATTATGACGTTTTTTACGTAAAAAAGTTCTCTTTGAGATATTGGAATAAAATTTATCAATACGTGTCAACATTGACATAAATTAAACATGTTGACTAAATAGTTATTAGACTGAAATCATAAATTTGAAATATTTTTGTGCCAAAACTTCAACAGAAACTGTTTGTCATCATTTTTTCGCAGAAAAATGTATGATTAATTTAAACAAAATAAAAATTTCACAAATTTATTATTTCAGTCAAATAGCTATATCTACTCAATGTGTTTTTTTGTCAATAATGACATGTATTGACTATTTCCATTCTAAATATTTTGAAAACGGTTGCTCGTAGCGATTTTTTACGTAAAAAGTCACGGAAATTTATATTTTTTCAATCAGCAGTTTTATTACTCTACAAAAGTTGTTACCCTTCAACACAGTTAAAACACATGTTGCTGGCGCCCCCTACATATAGGAGTCATAGTGAAACTAAGTATTTTAGGACATACATTTATACGAACTTTTTCACTTATTTTTATCTGCAGAAAACGCTGCCGAAGTTTCCGGAATACAGTTCGGACCACCCTGTATATTGATCCTGTGAAATATAATATTTCAAGATGGTAACCAAGATGAAAATTTTTAGAGTAACTCTAAGTTTACTTATTTCACTGAGATCATACAATAACAACCGATAATTACTAACGACGAAATAGGTTTTTAAATGTTTTGTTACCATTTCAGGTAAATACTTTTATAGATCTCTATTCGTAATACATTCTTTTGAAAATTGACCTAGGCGACAGTGGTTAATGTTTAACTATCCATTTAAATGTCGTAATCCAGTAATTAGACGAACAATGTATCGCTTAGAAGCCATTAAAGGTAGAGAGCTCCTTGCTTTATAATCTCGGAATATGGCGGCGTCCGCCACTTAAGATAACTAAGCGAGGCTTTTGGTTTTTGTCAGGACACTAAATAGACAGGGGCTTTGAACCCCTCTTCTTGGCAGCAACCCTAATTAGTAGTTGGAATCCTGACTATTCGTCAGCGCCCCTAAATGTATTCAGACAAGTCCCAGGTCTCGATAACACATCGGAGCTTATTCTAAACATTATGTTAAATTTGTGAAGATATAAATGTGGTTTTCGTTTGTAATACCACATACAGCCCCTAATATTTTTTTTCCTTTATTAAATTCCTCTACATATTTAGGGTTTTGTATCAACACTATGTGTAAAGAGTCATTATACAGAGTTTTAAAAAAAAACATTGCCGTTCCTCGTCTAACAGTTAGAGAGAGAGAGCCCACCGAGCGTAACAGTCAGATTTCCGCCACTAGAGTAGTAGAAACAAAGAACTTGAAGGAATTGGACCGTTGTCTCTGTTCATACTATCTTTACATTTATTAATTCTGATGCTTTCATATGCATCTAATTGCCTGCAATTTGAGACTTGTTTAATTAATTTTAAATTATTAAGATATATACAATGTTCTTTATCTTATTAACAACGCAAAATTTATCCGGTCCACCATATCTTATCTGAGCTAAATATTCTTTAAATCTATTTAATATTGATCTTCTAGTTTGCCCAACATATTTCTGATTACAATCTTTACAAGAAATTTCATAAAAATCCTTTGGATTACCTAATAATTGTTGTAATTTATTATTAGCACTACATACGAGTTTATAATTGACATTCTTAAAAATTCCTTTTAGACGAAATAACTCTCTATCAAATGGCATTGAAAAATATTTTGACGTATTTTTCTCCACTTGAAAAGTTGAATTTTCAGAAATCATTAACCTATACCTACGTTTTCTAATTATTTTATCTACTAGTGAAGGAGAATATCCATTACACTCAGCTACATTCCTAATGCTTCTATTTCATATCTTTCATTGGTCAGTGGAAAACTAACTAATCTATGAACTAAGAAATTTAAACTAGCCATTTTATGTTCAACACAATGATATGATTCATTAGGAATATATCTGCGTGTAGTGGTATTTTTCCTATAGATATCAAATTTCAGAAAATTATTAGTATTTCTAATAATTAATAATTATTAGTATTTCTAATAACTTTGGTGGCTAGATCTTGCCACGCCCACTCGGTACCTACTGAGCGAGTATATAAACGCCCAAATTGTAGATTGTAGTTTAGTTTTAATCATCTGCTGATGATGCTTTAAATGCTTAATGCTTTTTTTTGGTTTAAAAATCATGGTTAGCGAAACGCGCGTCCAGTGTAAAAGTAAAAGTGTTTTGGTGTATTGTGGTGATTTAGTGTTTTATTTTGCTGTGTAACACCAAAGGTTCTAACCACCAACTGTAACCCTGTATTGGTATATAAATATTTGTATATAAAAATTTATTTATGTAAATATTAAACAGGGTGTCGCATTTTCGTGTGTTTTACAGAGTTTCTAGTTTACGAGTAGAGGTACACAAAGATGCGGTTTGCCCATTAGTTTCTGTGTCGGAAATTATTGCACAAATTCTTCAAAAATATCAATAACTCTGATTGACAGCCGTGTTATTTAAAAGCTGCACAAGTTCATTTTCTGTGCATTTTATTAAGATAACACGATGCAAAATTGTTTGGTTAAATTAAATGAAATCAAATAATAATACTCTCGTAAACAAAGTTGGCTTATGTTAAAAAGTTATGCCACTGGATTCTACGTGACAAACCTCTACCGGTCCCAGGTCCCAGTTTTCACCTTTTCGATAAGTTATAAGATGAGCAAAGAGCGTCTAAAAATGCAACATTGTGAAATTCACCCTATATTTTAGAAACTAAGAAGGCTAGGACAAATCTGTGTATAGCAACTTTAGTTTCATGAAAAAGTAGCATAGTAATGTGAAAACAGCATCTTTCTACCTTTACTCATAAACGAGAAGCCCTGTAAAACACACGAAAATGGGACACTCTGTTTAGTATTCTAGTTAAATCTGGCTTAAAAGGAAACCACGAAAACCGGAAAGGGTCATTTTTTATATCAAAAATCTTGACATTAGCAGTGACAACTGATCATAGGATATTAGAAGTACAATCTCTTACAAATATAAAACTTTCCAAATATAAACCAGTTGCGCATAAATTTAGGTTTAAAATAGTCTAGCGTAGAAGCTCCTAGAGAAAAATCACTCATACTGCTTAGGGAAACGAATAAAAAATGAATATTTTTCTTCGTGCAGAATATCCGACGCCGGCGTCTCATAATCCCGATGAAAAATCAAGCGTCGAGTCGCTCATTCGACGGCCCCGAAACCAGCGGGAGCCTCACTTCATCATAATAACAAATTAAAGAGTCGCCTCGCCAGACGTAACCCGCTGCTACATCTAATCTGCCCCCCTTCTTCGTTCCCATGCGCTCCTGCTTGAAAAATAGCGCGTTTCTCGATTTTAGGCTTTAGTGTAAAAGTTTCCCGGCTTCCCCTTTACATCCCTTGTCCCTGCACAGGTCCCCCCTACCCCGATTCCTTGCGCTCCGATGATAAATCCACGATTTTCCGCGGGCGCCTGTCAAGAAAGAAAACTTTTCCAGCTCTTTCTTGTCTTAATCGCTTTTTAACCTTTTCTGTCGTGTTTTTTGCTTTTTTATTCCAGTGGCGTTACAAACAAAAAGGTATATGTTATTCAGGGTGTCTCTTAAAATAAATGCAAGTATGTTAATTGGTAAGTAGGTATACAGGGTGTCCCAGGCTGAGGGTGCATTAGAAGTTTCTAGAGAACTACTACATCTAGCTCGGAGATTTTTTGCACATCATAGTTTCACAACGAGATAGATATTTTTTTACGCAATATTTTTTTGCGCAAAATTGTTGATATTCCGGAATATATTAAGTTACAGTGTCGCGGTTCATTTGCTTGAAATTTCGACGGTGTATTTTCTCGAAGCTTTGCAGTGTTGACACCTCCTATGCGTAATTATACAAGGTGGCGCACCTCATTCGCCTCGGTTGATTACGAAAACGGAAAGATTTAGAAACAAAATTGTTTATAGGTACATGAAGAGTGGCAATGTGCATAATTTAAAATTATTTTCAAATGTACAGGGTGTGTCAGAACTAAGATCCATACCAAAGTTATATTTTTTTTCTTAAGGAACACCCGGTATTTTATTTCATTTTTGGATTCTTGGGCATAAAATGAGCCATTTATTATATGGGTATAATATGTTTAAATGCTTTGGTTTTTGAGATACTTAAAGATATTTAAATATGCATGCTATAATAAAAAGTGTGTTAACACCCTGTATATTACTTTTCAGAGTTAATTCTTGTGGTGACTTTGAAGCCAGAGAAATAAACTTTACTAAAAAATCTTATTGATTCCTTAAATGTATACAAGGGTATCAAAAATTGCTAGTCTATAATTTTGGTGTATTGTGGTGAATTAGTGTCTTTTTGCGTGTGTATATTTTGCAAACCAAACCAAACCAAACCAAACCAAAACACCAAATGTTCCAACTCTCAACTGTAATTTTAGAGGAGTACTGGTTTGAAACTATTTAAAGAACTTATTAGGTGATCTTTTTATAACTATCGGATAAAATCATATTAAGAAGGTACTTACTTCCAAACTAAAATGATCGCTATAAACACTAGTAGTCCAAGAAGCACTGAACAAAACACTATCACAGCCAAGGTCTGGGAAGAAGGACTACTTCGATAACTGGCATCTATAAGCTGAAACAAAAGAAAAACAAAATTTACTTACTTGAACTAGTACTATTTGATATTAAGATCGTAAACACTATACATAGTAAACAAATACATGTAAAGTCTATCGAACGAGATATAGGCAAAATTTCGACAGACAAAATCACAGGCACAATTGACACTGTATCCTTTCGTTTGACAGACTATATAATCCATCAAAAGATTTTAAATAACATTTCACATTTTTAAGTATTGTTTATTAAACATCCATGTAGGTGGCTTATTAAACCTAAATATATAAAATCTAGCTCGCACCCTTAGTACAAACACCAAACTTCAAATATGCCTCAACTAAATATCGGCTAGAGCTAATTTTAGTTTATGTACACCGGTAAGATCATCCAGGACTGTTGTTTACAATTAATTCCCGATTTAACCCTGAGGATGGGTTTGGAAACGTCGGTCTGTTTAGTTCTCGTCGACACCTAGAAATACATAGATACCGCACCTAATCAAAACATATAAATCAAAGTGAGGTAAACGATGTAATCGTTTGACTTTGTGAAGAAAGAGAGTGTAAATCCTTCACTTTTTGGAGTTGAAGCTATTATGCTGGCTTCAACTTGATTTTTACCCACTTTTATACCTTGATTTTTAGGGTTCCGTAGCCAAAGGGTAGCAACGGGAACCCGCTACTTCGCTGTCCGTCCGTCCGTTTGTTACAAAGGTCTATCTTATGAACCGTTATAGCTAGACAGTTGAAATTTTTACAGATAATGTATCTATGTTGCCGCTATAAGAACAAATACTAAAAACAGAATTAAATAAATGTTTATAAATCAAAAAGTACTTTCACTTTTAACCCCTAAAAGATTCAAAGCAAAATTTATGTAGTTTGGCGAAGGCGCTGGGAAATACCGAAAATAAGAAAATAAGAAGGAAGCAACGCTAGAGTTTTAGACTTGTGTCTAGCCCTAGCAGGCAACTATTAAGCCCGACCAATCACGTTAGAGTTTTTGACAAACACAAATGAATTAACACCCTTCAAATAACCACGCTAACCAACCTGATTGGTCAAGCTTAATAGTTGACTGCTAGGGCTAGACACTTCTGAGTTTTAGGGGTTAGGTTAGATTGGTTTTGGCGTTGATACGAATAGCGTCTTTTGTATTCTTCTAATAAAAATTGATAAAATTTAAGTGGTGAAGTTTGAATTTTGTGTATTCTTACACACTTCACATTATTTTTTAAGTAAGAATTTTACATAGAATCTTTCAAATCCTCGGTAGCCGCGTGGTTAAAGCGTTAGGACTTTACGCTGCTATGACGTTGGAGCCGTAGTAAGGCAGGTTCGAATCCTAGTCAAGACGACTTTTTTTAATCGTTTTTTTTTTAATTTTTACATATTTATTTTTACTTTTTACATATTTATTATAATATAATTTTTAGTAATGTGTTTCTTCATTTTTTTTTAAATTACTTATACGCGCATTCAAAATTTCAGCTAAATCGGAAAAAAAGTTTATAATAATATAGTGCCTAATGTTGTACAGATAATGAATGGTACGGAACCCTTCGTGCGCGAGTCCGACTCGGACTTGACCAATTTTTTTCTAATATACTATAGCTAAAGCTAAGCCAAAAAGTTTGGAAAAAAAAAAATTACATAATTTCGCTCACTTTGTTGTGAGTCTACTTGATATGATTAGTGGGCTCTCGTTGATGAATGGGAAATTTCTTTAGAAGATTTATGTTGCCAGCCCTTCAGAAATCTTATATCTACCTAAGCCCACAGCCACACAGAAAGCGAGTAGAGCGATTTTGCGAGTGTCTTTTGCGACAAAATAACAAGGATATATTACAAACTTATATAACACTAGTTAAAGCCTGGCGCATCCGCCACGACATGCGACATCAGAAAAAAATACTTTTTAGTTTTTTTTTAAATTAAATGAAAAACAAAAAATCCGGCGACGACAGTTTTTAGAAGAGCCAATTAGCTATCTTTTAGAAAAAATAACAACTTTCTAGAGCAAGTCGTTACTTCTCACTCCGACTTAATAAGATCCCTATGCGATTTACTTCCACACATGTAAATGCCGACCCAAAAGTAACAGTTGCCAGCACGGTATGTAGATATTGTCTCTCTTCGTATTTCTAGTACGCCTTTACGTTGCTTTATATCGTATATGTTTCCCTTACATAATAGATCTCGAACTGACTAGTTTGATGAATGTACTAACATTTTCAGTTAAAGTTGGCATTAAACAATAAATCTTAAATTTCAACGAGAAGGTAATAATATATGAAATAACATTTATATAGGTATATTATATAATAAGAAATTTAATGTTATAGGTATTTTATAGCAGATATTTAAACTTAACTTTATTTAATTTGGCCATATACGGTGGATACCTATATCTCATATAATATAGATCCCTACACACACCTAATAAGATGAATAAATAAACAGGTTATAAAATGTAACCCCTCACAATTCACAACTGCTGTCCCGTCGTAAATTTCAAAGGAATTGAAGCTGACAACACAGTTTAATAAAGGCAAACATAAACCTAATTCTTTGTTGGCAGTTTTAGTTTTAGCCATCAAAATCAACCGGAAAAACCCAGCTGTGTTAGTTTTGTTCAATCAAAGATAAATATTGAAAAGAGTTTTGCATATAGTTACTAGAATATACGTGCTGCAGACTTGCCATTACGTTTAAAAGCGATGTCTGGGGAAGGCTTTAGTAGCCCATCCTTTTATTGTGAGAAATATCGTTTATGCATACATAAACCTTTTTGGCTAAAATAGTCTCAGCCATCAAAAGAGTAATAATTAAAACAGTTTTATCTACGTATAGGCATGCTGCAGGCTTGCCTGGACGTTTAAAAGCGACGTCTGGGTGAAGCTTTAGCAGCCCATCCTCTTTTTGTGTGAAATATCGTTTATGATTTTAAAACGTTTTATTGGCCTGCCAGTTGTTTAATTAAAAAAGCCTGTTTTCCCGCTGGAAGAGGAGGAATAAAATGTTGGAAAATAGCGGAATGATAAATTGAACTCTTGGGAGAAATTTTATTGGAATAATCTACTAGAAATAACTGAATAGACTGGTATTTAAGTATTTTTTTATTTCGTGCGGAGTTTTATTGCTTTATTTTATTGGAAATGTCAGTTTCGGAATATTTATTACCGGAATTTTTAACGTGTTTTTGCTTTTTGATATGATTTCACAGTATTTTTATAGATTTTAATGTGTTTATTGGTTATAAAAGATCTAAAAAATTTATGAACTAATAAAACACTTTTCTTTTAATTTTTATTTACCTAGTTTCTCTGAGGTGTGTTATTTCACAATTTTGATTATTTTAAGACACTAAAAGTCCTACCAAAACATTTAATTGCTTTTATTCACGACAAAAAGTACAAATAATTTTAAGGCCACTTAAAATCTTGTAATTTTCATTTCTACATGTTCAAAGTAAAAAAAATAAAAAACGAGAGGGGCTGTCTAAGAATATAGAAAAAAGGGGTTCGTCATTGACATTCTCCTTTTACTAGTAATTTATAACCAGTTCAGGATGCCATATGGCCCTCTGCCTACGATTTTATCGCATGTGGTGCTTGATTCTTCGGATGCAGACTTAATAATTATCAACAATTAAGTCTTTTCATAAAAAGTCGCCTTTTAATGGCCCCTGTAACCATCAGATAATTATGTCGTAATTTTTATTAATGGTTGAAGTTTTTTTTTATTGTTCTTGTTTCCTCTTCATGTCCCAACATCGGGCTCAGTTTATTCTCAGTACGTAGGATTTTTAATTAATTTTAGTAGCTTCGTAGTAAAAATAGAATTATTACGTTGAAATATTTCCACGTATCCAACCCTGATTTCAACAAATTTATTCATTAGCCTAGAGAGAAAAACAGAACTCATTTAAAGGTAAAAAGGTTTAATCACTGTCCAACCATGATCGCTCACGTCCAGTTAAATAGGGCCTACGAAATATGTTAATATGGCTGCCCCAAAGCGATTATGATTTCGGTGCGCTAAACACGGAGCAGATGAATATAAAGGGTGTCCCAGAAATAACTGCAAGTATTTTAACTGGTAGTTATAGATTGATCTCAGAAACACGGCCATGAGGTTTTTTGCGAAAAAAATGTTGAAAATTTAATATTTTTCTGGAAAATTGATGATTTTCTGCAAAATATTGAAAAACTTTTGAGTACCGTTTGTTCAGTTTTTGGATTTGTTTATAGTGCTTCGAGACAATGCCATGTTGCCACCTCCTACGTTATTCACATGCTGTGTGTTTCTAAATTAAAAAGTTTACATTTTTAAATTTCTACAAAAATACTTAAATTAATTTTATTAACTGTAGATTTTTGAATCATAGAGCAACGTCTATTATTTTAAATACCTTTGTATAGTTTAGTAAACTGAAATGACTAATGAACTTTAAATAATGAACAATTATAGCAGTTTTTTCTTCGCCATATTACAAAATATTTTCAATCGTTTCCCTCAATAGTTATAAAGTATAAATATTTTGATAGTGCTTACTCTTAACAGTATTTTATATTCAACATATCTTACGCCAATACGTGCACACCCACATATCTATTAAACTGAACATCACATATTATAACGTTTAGCCTTTCCGAATTAAAAATCAGCGCCCTCTATTGGATAAGTGAATAGCCAACATTTGACCTACATTTAAACCGACCAACTGTTGTAAATCAGCTTATCTGTTTAGCTGATGAATTTTTGGTTATCCAATTCATTTGAGATTTTACTCAAAACAGTAAACTTTTGACAAAACTAAATAAATTAGGCAAATGTAGTGTAAGCCTGTAAAAATACTTCAATCAATTATATTGGTGTTTATTCGCAAAAACAAGAGTGCGAGAGGTGTCAAAAAATAATACTAAATATCTGATGGAATACGAATGTATTTTGTGCCAAATACACGTGTGTATTTGTAGTGCTGTCAAGAATCGAAGTGAAGTTAAGTGTA